TAACTTTGGTGGCATAACTTTTCACGCACTAAAAAGGAGAATTCCATTCATCATTTTCCAAGCAGCAGCATCGGGAATTATTTTCAATTGACGCCTTCTGATTTCTTTATCAATTATTGCATATTTTTGTCAATTTAACCTAAACCGTAAATTAATTTTCAAAACAATAAATCCTAATCTAATTTGTACTGATTTTCAAGATCCATATTTGACTAGTAAGTTAAATTTCAGCAACAATTTAATATAAAATATATCATTGCAATTTCAACAGCATTGTAAAATAAATTCAAATTGCAGCAATAAAACCCTTAAAAGCATAAAATAGATATTGTAATTTGTATAGGAACAAAAATGAAATTGCAGCTAGAAAGAGAAAATAAGAAAAACCGTTACCTGGTTTTGGAGTCCCCTACGCTGGACAAGTGGACTTAGCCTCGAAGTGGGAAGACGAGAAGCCGTGAAGATGAAAAAGGACTATGCTACCCTGTCTTTGAGCCTCTACAAAGAGCATTATTCATTAGTAATTTATGTCGGTAACTTTATTTTTGGAAAAAGATAAATGGCCTCTTTGAGGCTCAATTTAATATTTAAGATATTAAGTATGACCATTTTTAAAATTAAGATACAAGGTTTATTATTTCAAAAATTAAAAATCAATTAAATTTTATTTATGAAATAATTAATTAAATATATTAAGATCACAATATTATATAATTTATTGTCATAATTATGTATTAGTCAACATTACAGCTACACATAACAAATTTTATTCACAACTTATTTGTTGGTCACAAATTTATCAAATTAATAGGTCACACATTATTCCTTGATCACAAATCACCAATTTTATAAGTCGTAACTTATTTCATGGTCACAAAATATCAAATTAATTAGTCACAAATTATTTCTAGATCACAAATTATCAAATTATTGGTCACAATTAAACAAATTTTTTTTAAGTCACATTATTTATTGGTCACAAAATTTATATTTCATTGGTCATAATCAACCAAATAATTTGTGACAACTACTACGACCAGTCGACCACCATGTTACCACTCTACATCTCACTATACTATCATTGTCTCCATCGTCATCGCCACTACAATACCGCACCGCCACCAAATAATTTGCGACTACCATTATGCTTCTTTTTCGTGTCCTTGCTACCCTGCACCACCAAATGCTCCACCGTCATCAACGTAACCATCGATGTTAGGACAGTCACCACCAATACCATGTTTACAACAACCTTAATATTCTCATCATATCTACAATTCAGCAAATATTAACCTTCCACCGATTGCAATAAACAATCTTAGAACACCACCACCACCACCACCTTCTCACCATCATCACCTTGACCACCAGCGATTCAGCTCCCGCCACTACCACATCCATCACTGTACCACCAACAACCTCCCATCTCTACCACACCACAAACACAACCCCCACCAAAAAAATCCCTAAATTCGATGTCGCCACTATCAACTATCACCGCCACCACCACCACCACAATCAACATAAGAAAATAGATGAGATAGAACAACTGTCGTGCAGCCGCACCTCAACACACCGATCTAAAAGTGCATCATGTCGAACAGAGAAAGCGATAGTGGTTTTATGTGCAGAAAGAAAGAGATGGGAATGACAAGGTGGTGGTGCACAACGAAGAGAGGTAGGAGATTGACATCGATTTGAAAGCGCAAACCTTATTGTCAAATTTCAATGGTCTTTAGTTTATTCTCTATTTCTATCTTCTAGCAATAACTATGCATTTTTGTAATTTTTCAGGCTCGTGCAGTACTAATAAATTCTGTTGAAGGAAATTCATCAATGGTAAATTTCTTGAAACTCGGAAGCTCGGTGTTAGCATATAATTCTATTTTGCAATTGAAATCTGGAAGATTTCTTTTCTTAATCCAAAACATGAAAGGGATAATATCATTTTTTTTTTCTAAAGCTCAATTAAATGTCTTGGGATATCAAACATTTTTGTTGTCTCACAAACAACTTGAATTTTTGTCAAGTAAACTCAACGGTGTGGTTTTATATGGACAAATTATTTAGTGTGTTGAGACTAGGATAACTTCAAATTGTTGTAGGGTAATGTAGGCTACCATGATTTAGTTGAATGTTCTCATGTCCTTTTGGAGACGGATAAATGCATTTGTTTTTTGCTTTTTTTTTAACCTCAAATGTAGGAGAAAGCTAGAGCAACTCGCATAGTGAAAATATCTACATTCATTTACATTAGATGGATTCTTTACTTTATTGGTTGGTGTGAGCGATTATTCATAACATCAACTGTTAATTAAAGAATTTGTCACTATATTAAAATAGTTAGGATAATATTCAACACTCTGCAATAAAGTACAAGTAGAAGATATTTTTTTTTTTTGGCACGTCATATCTGCTAAATATATCTAACCTGAAGGTTGTTCCATGGTTTGTTTCATATGCTATTTGTTTATCTATCTTCGCTCTCTATCCTCATTTGGTAT